ATGTCGGGCACGGGCGGCCGGCGCCCCCCCGAGGCGTTCCAGGCCAGAGCGGCCCCGCGGGACGGGGGCTGAGCCGCCTGCGACCGCGGGGAGCAACACCGAGCCCCGGAGAAGAATCCGGCTGCATCAGGGGAGCTGCCCCAAGGACACCTCCTCGTGTGACAGGGGCGGGAAGAAATCTAGCGGCAACACTTCCAGCGCTTTCTTAGAGAAAAAACAACCGGGTCCCGAGAGCGAGCGAGTCCCGAAGAAAAAGCCTGCTGAAGGGAGCGGGCGTCAGCGCAGACACGGCGGCTCTTCTGGCCTTGCCTTCCGAAAAGCTACCTTACAAATCTGAAGCACGTGGCAACGCAACTCGAGGTTGGCGCTCCGACACCACGGGATAGAGGTGAGTAAGAGAAAAACTCTGCAGGATGAAGCACCGTCACACGGGCCGCGCTGCCCTCCGCTCCCAGCGTCGCACGTGCTGCTCCGGCCTGCCTCCGGCCGGCACACGGCGACCTATCCAACACCCTCCCAAGGCGCTCCGGGAGCGCGGCGTCTTCCTCCGGGGAGAGGAGGAATAAACAACGTGTGACACATCACTCACATCGCTGAACGGGTGAAGCGCCCTCACGCCACAGCGATAAGCAGCGTATAAGAGCCTAGACAAATAAAATCCAGTTTTACCAACCGCTTCTCAGATATCCATAACCTTTCCTGGTTTTCCAAGTGTGGTACTTGACGGGTTTTTTCGAGCCTCCATGCTCTTTTCCCTAGTCGGGCGCTGCTCTTGAATAAAGCAGACGCAGCGAAATCCCTCAGGCTAGGTGCAGAGCCAGGCCTGCGCCAAAGGCCACGCGCATCGCATCGGCACAAACAACAGACAGCGAGACGCGAGGGCTTGGAGGGCTGTCGGCCAGAAACACCCGCGCGCACCCAAGTTCTCACTCACGAGGGTCTGACCGACATCTACGATGTTTTAGAAATTGCTTTCGAATGCACATAACGCAAAAGAGGCCATTAACACACACGTAACAGGCTGAGCAACTGGCGCAAGTCTTCCCCGTCTCCTTAACGATGAGTTCTTTCTAAGAGGTTTACACTGCTTTACATCGCTACAGTGAACGATTGAAGAGGAAAGAGTCACCTGGCCCTTCGCGATCCAAAACTGCACCCATTTTTGCAGGAGCGGTAGGAAGAGGACCTGCAGCTCGGGTTTCCCCCCTCGCAGCCTCCAGCAACCAGAAAACCTCCCGTTCCCGTTGGAAGGAGGCGACAACTCGACTTTATGAAGCCACTTTTACGTATCCTAACGGACCAAACCATAAAGCTACGCAGGAAGCCAGCATGCTAAATTGTATAACACTGCAAGGTGAGACCGAGGGTTTCATTCCTGCCTGATGCTAGAAGCAACATAGAGGTTATCCATCCTCAACCCTTACGGAAGCGGCACATAGCTTTTGAGCCAGGTAATATCCTGTGCTTCCCGTAAGCTGGGTGTTACTCAAGACGCAGGAGGCTTCCCATGGATGAGGATAATATCATTGATCAAATACAGGTACTGCTGTGCACTGTACAAATAACGCACAAACATGAATCATCCCCTGGTTCCTGCCCGAGGGGCATGAGATTCCCAGGTCTGTAGTTAGCAAGAGCTATATCCACCTCCCTCGACTTCTCCCGTCACTCGCCACCGCTGTTGCAGCCTTGCAATACAAGGAATTGAAGACAACACACCTCAGAGCTCCAGAAACGAACCAGAAGCGAGGCTGGAAAGCGAGGACAGCTTCTGAACGCAGGTTTTGGGTCAAATGCAAAGCTGCCAACTTTGGAAACAAAAAATCCGGAGAACTGCTCATCTGATCAACCACATCAGCAGAGCTATCGCTCAGACACGGTGGAAGATGCTCTTGGAGAAGAACCGGGTGAAACAAACCAATAAATCCTGGAGCTCTGCCATGTCTTAAATCACAAATGAAACCTCAAAGGCAAGCAGTGGGATTCAGTTGTCTTCAGCACAGACCTTATGGCTAAGTGAGAAAACCCATTGCAGACAAGAGCCTTAGAGATTACTCGATGTTCAAATTAGGATATTTCGTTCTTTCAAAGGCATAAAGAGGAGCAATACTCTCTTAAATAGGCATAAAAGGCAGAAACTGGACATATCTCAAAGAAGTGACCTTACTGAGAAAAAAACATACACAAATGGAAACCAAATCCGTGTGCTGGACATCTCATTTCCACAGGACAGTGGTAATACAAGAGTAAGCCATGCAATACAGCAGCTGCTCTAGCTGAAATCGCTTGCCGATGCGGCTGGCGAGCCAAAAAGATGCAAGCCCAACTATTTACACCAAAGGTAAAGCAGTATCGGGTGTGATAACAAAGCTTATGGGGCAGATGTTGAAAAGGACCTCACTCAGTGTCTGGGGAAGGGAGAGGAATTTGGTGTTTTCCAAGGAAAAGCATTCCATCATCCTTTGACAGAGCCGGGACACTGTCCTCTTGCCTGTCGTTGATGGTGGGACCGCAAGCCAGCAGCCCCATTTCCTAAGGAACGCAGCCGACGGCGCAAGGCCAGCAACGTAACACCAGCAAATAACTGGGGCCTCTGCATCTCCTCTGCAGCGGTACGGAAAGCCCGCACAAAGAGGCGTTTCCTCCTTCGTGTGTTGTCACTGCCAGTCCCCTTTGGAGGCTTTAGAAGATTTTGCAACTGGTTTCTAAAGGGATGCACAACCGGAGCGGCAGTACGGCCTGGCGTATCGGGGCGTAGATCTTGTACACGTGGGTACTCGTGCAGTGCACCGACACTTTGTGAGCTGGACAACAGGCATTGCCAGGCTGTGGTTTAGCGAGCCGTACTGCGCTCGAGCAGACAGTGAGGGCAGGGCAGAGGATACGGAATGAGTTCCCCAAACAACATCTGCTGTTTGTCAGTTATTTTCACAATTCTTTGTAACAAAGCTGTAGAGTCAGCAAGAAAAGAAATTTCTCAGAAATCCTCATATGATGGGGCTGACCATTACACTTCCTTTTCCAGTGACTGCTGAACACGTATCTTTGCCAGACTGAAGGGTGTACGGGCTCCAATTAAACTGGTTAAACACGTAGCAGTTTGAAACAGCAAAGTCAGATGTGTCATGTTCTCCCTCCAACCTCGGTCCTGCTGGCTCCCACATCCACACGTGCATGGTGTTTGCTTATAAGCACTGTAAACAAGGCAGATTAAGGATTTTGGATGCAGTCAGGACTTCACTGACATCACCAGCAACAGTCCAGCTGGCTTAGGAAGCACACTCGTTAACACTACACCAGCAATCGCTGGCTGACGGGCACCTACGAAGCCTGGTAATGGCTCTTTCCCAAATGCATTCTTATCAAATTACATGTTTTGCCTGGCTTCCAGCTGGAGTTAATGAATGCCACGTACCTGTCTCAAACTGCGCTTGGCATTTCCAATCTAATGACCTCAAGACACTGGGGAAGGGGGGGATTAAGTGAGGCAGAAGAAAACGGATGGAAACAGGCAGCAGCTTGTCCAGATGTAGAGGGTCAGTAGCAGGATCCCAGTCTCTAACCCTCTACTTTTATATAGCTGAGTGTGCATTCTCTTCAGTTAATCACTGAACCTCATCCAGAAAGCACTCCGAGGGAGATCTCTGCAGCTCTCTGAGCATAGCAAAGAAGGGCCAAGATGAGGCAAGGGGGTCTCCCAATGCCAATCGCTTTGCACAATGGGTAAGGCAGTTAGGATAAAAAATTCTGCTACTTGCCTATCCAAGCAGGACTAGTTCCTCCTCTGGGCAGGGAGATGCTCTAGACAACTCTTGAAATCCCTTCCCTGTTTTCCTGTTAATGGGGAGTTTGCTCAAGGGGTCAACTCCCGTTTATTCCCAGAAGACTTCCAGAGTCGCGCTTTGGGGAGCTCGAGGGAACGGAGTTTCGCCCCTCCTGGCTCTAAGCCTCCTCCAAGCAGAACCCAGCCGTACAGCTCCCTCCAGACCGTGACCTGCTGTCACCTCTCGCCTCCAACAGTGTCCCCAGCCCCTTTGGACACGACCTCTCCCCCCGCAATTAATGTGGTAAAGTCTGAAATATCAGGCCCTAAAGCATGAGTTTAATTTACACCCAGTTCAAAGGTGCTTTACTCCGAGAGAACGGCGTAAAAGCCGAGTAAAACACACGCTCTACGTGATCTTTCTTCTGCCTCCCTTAGTGCTGCGAACAAAACCCACTGCCACCCAGCCCGCAAACTATGTAATCTTTAAGCTGTTTCTAAAGCCACTTGGAAGCCTCTTAATCGTTACAGGAGGGCTTAGGGGGACAGCTGGCCATCACACCCAACGGGCAAGCCAATTCCTGTTGGAGGGCCGAGCAAATCTGACTCCGGCAGCACCGCTACGCAGCTCTCCAGCCCAGCACCAGTCATCGACCACCGGTGAACAAGCCAAAGCCACAGCTCCTTCAGGAAGGGTCCCCGAGTACCGGGAGAGGCACCACAGGACCTCCGACCACCGCCGGAGGCAGCCAGGCCTCGCTCCCCGCCAGCGGGCCGATCCCTCCCGCCCGGCGGGCTGACAGCGCGGCTCCCCCAGCGGCCTAGCCACTCACGCCGAGCGGAGCGG